TCTCTCCTGCAAGGCAGCGCGGAAAGTGGCCGAGTCCACGGGCTTCAGCAGCAGCAGCTGCAGCGCTGTTTCCAAGAGCCAAACGGTACCAATTTCCATGAAATTTGGCAATGCTGAACTGCAGCGTTGCTGCGTCCGCACTCAGACCAGGAGAGGACCGTACGTCTGGTTTAGGTCTAAATGCTCTCCACAGCATCAGAGACCTGAAAGACGAAGTCTCAGCCTGCGGGGCCGGGGCGGGCCGGGGACAAGCAGCACTGCGTGAGCCAGACCTGAGGCCCCTCTTGCTCTGCCCGCGGACCGCAGCCCCTCACGCAGCGTCTCCACGTGGTCTAAGCAAACACAGACTAAAATGTTTTTAAGAAATCTTCCATGAACTGTGTTCTTATTTTCAGGTTGCTTAACCCAGAAGCCTGGTCCTGCAGATGAATTTAGCCAGAATTACCAAAGACCCCTCTGCTGACCTAAAGTAACGTTCACGTAATGTCACTCTGCTCCATCCCTCCACGGGGAACTGCGCGGGTGGGCCGTGGGACGCTCTGCGGATTAGTTTGCAAAATGAAACCAACAGCAATGGCTCTGCCCATTGTAACCCAGAACACGACGAGGAGAGTATTGCAAAGGTGCTTAAAAGCTCTGATTTAAACACCGGTGTTGAAGAAAAGAGCAACCTCCTTCCCTTGCACGCGTAAGGGTGACAGTGACCTGCCGCAGATCGCGCTGCTGCTGGACGCGCCTCTGCACCTCCGTCCTGGTCTGCAGGGCAGCAGGGCAGCGCAGCGATGGAGCAGCCGGTGCTCGAGCTCTGCACCCCCAAACTTCGCCCTCCGTGTCATGAGCGCAGCGAGGTGCTGCGGCCGCCGCAGGAACCAGCAGCGGAACTGACCCAGTTTGCCCTCCCCTAGCTGCGAGGCCGTTCTGGAAAGTTTAACCTCGCCCAAAGGAACAAACCTGTTTGTAGCTGATTTCAGATTTTTTTTCCCACCTGTTTCTTTCTGAGGCTCAATTAGGAAGGTTATCTTTGGAGCTGATCAGAATTAGCAAATTAGCTCAAGGGGAGATAGCTGTTCCCCTCTCCCAGTACAGAACATAATTTGTCCTTATTTCGTTTTTTTCAGTGATGTAAAGAAGCAACATAGTGACCCAAAACAAAACAAGGTGATTTGTCATAAGTAAAGACATGGAAAGAATTTACATTAATTTTCACCTTTTCATAGAAACCATGAAAAATTAGGGGTGAAAGCTGCCAACTCAATGGGCGTTATATTCTTAATAGTTTGCTGACCAAATACCTACTACAGCAGAGGACAGGTTGGAAGTATGGCTCTGCTTCCCCAAGCTAATGACATTCTGTATTTCTTTGCAAACCCTTAGGCTTGTCAGAGTAGTACGTTTGATTTTCTTTGCAGATTTCTAAGTTCTTAGAAAGAGATTTTTACAATTAAGGCAGAGATAAAAGCAAAGCCTGAAACTGGCCAGAGAGTAAAATACCACAGAAAATAGCATCCATTTTTCTTTTTGACAGATTTTTAATAAATAAATAAATATTACTAATACCATAAACCCCACTTATTCATGCTTGACACCAGTTTGATTTGATTTTACTCACAGTCATCCCCGAGTGGCAGGTGAGCATCCAGAATTACTGGCACTCTCTGCCAGGAGGACCGAACCCTGCAGGTTACCCGTCTCCCTTCCCACTGCCCACAAATCAGCCATGAAACTGCAGCTAACTTCCTGCACCTACACTTTGGTTCCATGTTTAAATCCTGATCATGAAAGCATTTGACATTTAACCACAAGGAAACGTTCTGCACCGCTCGAAACCACACAGGAGCTGGGGAGCCCAGCGCGGGGGCACTGCCTCCCCCGTCCCCTGCGCTCACTGCGAACTGGGGGAGTCGAGGTGGTTCCGGACCACTGCCGTCCTGCCGCAGCCCGGGGGAGCTCCCCCCACAACGAGGGTAATTCAGCCCGTTGCTGCGCTGCCCAGCAGAGACCGGAGCCTCTCCCGTTCCCCGCGTGTGCCCCGCGTGCTCCTCGCCTTCCTCCCGGGGAGCGCGGGAGCCCGTACGCCACGCGGTGTCCCATCGCAGAGGAGGAGCAAGGGGCCTGGCACTTAGCAGCGATGTGTCGGGAGAGTTCAGGAGGGGCAGACCTGACGACAAAGCCTCAAAGCCTGCAGCGAGCTGTTCTGGGACCTGTTTGAGACTGTCGGCGACTCACGGCTTAGGAACGATCCAACTTCCAACTTTGTTTAAATCAGTCCCTCTCTTCGCTCAGTGGGCAGAGGGACTGAAAAAGTGAGGAGGAAATAAAGAAAAAACAGGTTTGGGCTATTAAACTGTATCTAAATTGTTGTCACCTCAGTTCACTGTCCCTTTATCACGTGCTTTTTCCTTCCAGCTCTCCTGTGAGACAGAGCAGGGGCACAGCGGGTGGCTTTGTTTGGGGTCGCTGTTCTGTCGGAGGTCACCAGCAGCGCGTGTCGGGTGCGCTGTCGAGAGGACAGATCCACAAAGAGATGGAACGTGCAAAGGAGAACCACCTCCAGCCCTGGGCACCCACTGCTCTCCCCTCGCTGGGTGCCCCTGCGGAGCGGGGTTCGGCCGGGCGCCAGCGCGGGTGGGCTTGGGGAATGTCTCCGCAGAGGGACCCCGTAGATGCCAGAGCTGTCACCAGCGCTCACAGGTCTGCGCCACGCGCGGCCGAACCATGCGGAGACCCCGCGCCCCAGCACCCAGCGACCGCGGGTGCCACGGCACGTCCCTGCGCGGGCACCACCGGGGCTGCTCGGGGCCGGCCGGGCAGGAACCTTCCTGGGCATCGGTGTTGCAAGCCCTCTGCTCTCTGTACCTTATTTTGACATGTTTCTCAAAAAAAGACAAAAAGAAGAAAAAGAAAAAAAAAAAAACAGAAAAGAGTGGAAAAAAAGGAAAAAAATGGTCTCCGTGACATTCAGGGGATTTTCCTTTGTGGACATGCAGAATTTCTATGAATATAGTTTTTTGTAAACATTTTGTAACAATTTTGGTTTCATAGTAACTGTGTTACTTGCTGATCATTCTAGGCTGATGTAAATAAAATTTCCAAAAAAAAAAAAAGAAAAAATTCTGATTATTTTCCTTTTTAAGACACTGTGATATATCAAAGTGCACAGTTTGCTGTATGAAGTAATATGGTTTTAAATTTTAAATAAAAATAATTTCTAGAAAATAATGATGTTCATGCCTGTTTATACTGAACAGCTCCCCTCTTGTGGAAATTTTACACCTAAGAACAAGCTGTTGAATGACATCCCCCGTCTCTCCTGATAATCAGCCATAAAAAGCCAGTGACAAAAAAACCAATTCACAACTAAACCCAAACATCTCAGGAGAGCCGCTCGCCGGAGGGGATCTCTGTGTGCTGAGGAGCGGTGCTGAGGGGCTCCACTGCATCCCACGGGAGGAAGGACCATCCCCAGTTGCTTCACCTTGGGACAGAGCGGGGTGAGACAGACGACAAGGCTCAGACGGCGCAATTCTCCCTGCCCCGCACACCTCCGGAGCGTTTGGCATCAGACAAATAATTAAGCCCAGGTACTCCACGAAGAGCCATCTGCAGGAACGCTCTCCCACCGCGGTTCGCCAGAGGCTGCGTGTGCTTTTCATTACAGGAAGGTGCCTGAGCCCGAGACCCTCCGACCAGACCGCAGGTCCCCACCGGGCTTCAAGGTTCATAAAAGCTCTGTTTACCTGCTTTCCCCTTCGATGGAAGTCAAAAATCTTATTAGCCTGATAAAAGCTGAAAGTACCCTCAAGGCCAATGTTTATTAGTCTGAAATCTTTATGACTCTGCTTTGTTATATTGAGGCAGAGAAGAAATGTCTGTGGGTTCCAGGATGGGAAGGATGAGGGCGATCTGAGCTGGGCTGTTTGAGGCTACAATAAAACAAACTCTAAAGGCAGAGGCACAGCCCTGGGCTCCTGCAGCGTGGCGAGCCTCGCTCCCCAAAGCCCCCACACCCCCTAAAGGCAGAGGCACAGCCCTGGGCTCCTGCAGCATGGCGAGCCTCGCTCCCCAAAGCCCCCTCGCCCCCCAAAGCC